GTGTTTGGGGCCCTCCTGTTCCCTGGGTGAGCTCGGCTCTGCTGAACAAGGTGAAGCCGGCCGGAGAGCCGTGCCGCCCTGCAAAGGACCAGTGTGACCTCGGGGAGTACTGCGACGGCAGGCAGCCCATGTGTCCCGAGGACGCCTTCTGGGAGAACGGCACGCCCTGCCCGGGGGGCTACTGCTACAACGGGGCCTGCCCCACGGTGGCCCAGAGGTGCCGGGACTTGTGGGGGCCAGGTGAGGCGGGCATGGGCCCCTCAGGCCTGCCAGGGTGGCTGCCGGTCCTGAGTTGGAGCGCTGACCTGCTCCTGCCCCGCAGGCGCTCGGGTTGCCGTGGAGACGTGCTACAGTTACAGCATCTCCGCAGGCTGCAGGGGCAGGATCCCCCTGGACTTTGGCAGGTGAGCGTCCACCCGTGGCCCTACTCCCCTGGGTCCAGGGCACGGAATGTTTCCACCAAGAGAGTCCTCTGCACAAAGGAGTCCGGGAGCTGAGTCAGGGGCCTCTCCGGGGGCCTACCTGGCCCTGCAGGACCCCCAGGCCAGAGCATGCTGCCCTTTGGGAGAGTGGGTCACTGTGCCTGGGCCGTGGACCCCTGCGGGTGGACCCAGGGCCTCACCCACAGCTCCTGGTGCGCTGAGCACGGTTGTGAGCACCGCGCAGGGGTCCCCGCGGAGCTGGCTCCACGCACATCTCTCTGTCCTCAGGGTCAACAGGTGTGGCACTCTGTTCTGTGAGGCGGGGCGGAAGCCCCCAGAGTGGAGTTCCTGCACCCTCACCTCCTCCTCGGGTGATTGCCAGGCTCTTGTCCAGGACAGCAGCAGCGCGTACGAGCCAGTGCCAGAAGGCACCAAGTGTGGCAAGGAGCAGGTGGGCCGGACATGCCTCTTGGTAGGGCTGCTGGACCCCAGGGCGAGCTGGTGGGGCCCAGAGCAGGGCGGTGGCGGCTGGAGGAGGGCTCTGTTCTAGGGAGAAACTCGGAAGGCGCATGGGGGGTGCGGGAGAAGACCCTTTTCAGTTAATGGGTTTGAAGACTGTTTGTTCTGCAAGTCCTCTGGGGATGGGCGAGGCCAGTCCTCTGTGGCCCTGGTGGCAGCAGAGGGCTGGCCCGGCAGTGCCTCTCCCTGTGGCCAAGGCCGGCCAGCAGATGGGCTGCGGGCGAGGCCACCGGGGGTGTGAAGGCTGTGGCCTGCCCCTCCGAAGCCCAGACACAGGTTTTGGGTCCACTCTGGTTGATGGTGGAGAGCGGGGGTGCTTCAAGCAGGGGTCTAGACTGGCTGCCTATGGAGACCCCCACTGCCCACCAGGTTTGCTGGAAAGGCTTCTGCCAGGACCTCCGTGTCTACAGATCCAGAAACTGCTCTGCCCGGTGTAGCAACCATGGGGTACGTGGGCCCAGGGGATGGCCTGCCACAGGCCCTTTGGGCTTGAAAGACGTGCAGGCCGTGCTGAGGATAGCCCAGACGAACAGAGGGCAGAGGCTGGTGCGCTGGGACTGTGCCAGGAGTCTGCTGAGGCCTCCCGAGGCTGCAACTGACAGGGATCTGGGCGTCCCGTGTAGACACAGAAGCCCGGGGTAGTCATGGTGCCGGTGGACACGTGGGCCAGGCCCGTCTGATGTGAAGTGTCCTATTCTGAGCTCTTAGTAACCTGTGCTGTGACGGTGGGGAGGTCAGAGCTCTGAGGGCTTGAAACCGGGGGCCCTGGGGCAGTGCCCTCCCACGCCCCCGTCTCAGGAGGACAGCCTGCCCCGAAGTTGCCCTGCCCGTCCTGCAGCGATGCCGGCTTTGCTCAGAAAGCCCGCAGTGTCCCGTCAGAGCCATTCTCCCTCACCCGGGGAGGGACTGCTGCCGTCAGCACATCTGACGAAACCTGGGTGGTGGCGGTCCTGGACCCCTAGCTTGTCCTCTGTCAGTAGGAGCCCCAGCAGAGCAGACGGCGCCTCAGTGGGCACTGGGCGGTGCAGCAGGTGGGGGTCTGGAGACCCTGATGCCTTGTCGTCCCCCAGGTGTGCAACCACAAGGACCAGTGCCACTGCCACCCGGGCTGGGCCCCGCCCTACTGCGCAGAGCTGCTGTCTAACGTGCGCACAGGTAGAGGGCCTGCCCTGCCCTGCGCCTTCACACACCTTCACAAGCCCAGGGGGATCTGGCTGCAGGTCCTGCCTTTTCTCAGGCCACCTGGAAGGGGCCGAGAAGGAGACCGTGTGCCCCTAAACCGTGAGGGGCACGTTGAAGATGTGGCCTTGCAGCCCCCGGCATCCGGACCCCAGGATCCCGAGTCCCCACCTCGGCCCTACAGGAGAAGGGGGGCCCGTCCCAGAGGGAGGGCTGCAGGGGGAACGAGGGACAGGGCCAGCTCCTTGCTGGGTGCTCAGCCCCGTCCTGGGCCTGGGAACCTCGGGGCCTCCCACCCCCACAAGTGTCTTCCTCCCCAGCGGTCAGGCCTACAGGGCCTGGCCTGGCCACACCCACGTCACTGAGGGCCTGGGGCCGCCCGCCGCCAAGCCCTCCAGCTGGTCCCCTGAGAGCCCAGAGCGCTGGCGTCATGTACCGGTTCTCAGGGCCAAGGGTCCTCAGGTGGCCCTGGCCTTTGCAGGGGGCCCAGGGCTCGGGGCTGTTGGCATGGCCAAGGAGGGGGCACCTTCCTCAGGCCCCTCCTTGGCCCCAGGCTGGCCTGGACAGGCGCTAAGCTGCCTGCAGGCCCTCCCAGCCCCTGCTGCCTCGAGGCATGTCTGGCCCTGGTGGCACCTGGCCTCCTGTGTCCCCACAGCATCCCGGAGCCTCCTGGTGGGTGTGCTGGTGCCTGTGGCACTCCTGGTGCCTCTGGCGCTGACCCTGGCAGGCGTGGTCATCTACCGCAAAGCCCGGCGCCCCGTCCGAAGGAGGTGAGCGAGCTCTGGGCTTGCAGAGCGTCAGCGTGTGTGTGCAGAGCGAGTCGCCTGCTTGCACTGCTGGAGGGGGAGAACGCGCTCTGGGCCCCCTGCCTTCGCTGACACAGGAGCAGGTGTGGGTTGTGGTGACAGGTTGGTGATGTGGAAACTCAGAGAGGACCCCGTCTCCCCCTTGCACCCCAGTGGGCGCTGGCCCACTGCCCTCGGTGGACACTGCGCTCTGAGCCTGCCCTGGGCTCTGGGTGTCCCCAGTGCCCACTCTGGGGGGACCTCGACCCCCACGCTGGCCGCAGCAGGACACACTTGCCCAGTGGCCTCCAAGTACCTCCTGCGGGCCCAGAGCCAATGGGGCCAGGACACGTGAGGCTGCCTCTCCCTCTGTGCGCGGCTGTCATTGGCGCACCCCGACAGGCAGCTGCAGCTGAGTGGGCTTCTGGCCAGGCCAGGGTTCCCACGCCCAGGAGCCCCAAGTCGCTGGGCTGAATCCTGAGGCCAGGAAGCACTGACCCATCTTATTTCTCCCCAGGAATGTGGCGCCCAAGACGGCCATGGGGCTCTCCAACCCCCTGTTCCACGAGGGGCACAGGACACCAGTGAAGGGCAGGGCCCCGGCTCCCACCAGAGGGCCCCCAGAGCCAGGCCTTTCCTCCCACCCCAGCCAGCCACCCAAACCCACGGCTTCCGCAGTGACCCCTAAGTGGCCACCTTCTGCTGTAAGCACCAGGCATCCCCAACGGGCTCCCCAGGCCACCCCCAAAGCTCAGGCCAGGATGCGGTCCCCTGGGGCTTAGAGTGGCCACCACGACCGCCATTTAGAGGCGAAACGAGGCTTGAGAACGAGTGGTCTGAGGACCCGCAGGAGCTGGTGACAATTGAATCTGAGGCCCGAGGCCTCTGCAAGGTCCACCTCGGGGCGGTTTTGAGGCCCAGACACCCTTGCTGCCATGCAGCACCTCTGTGCGTCCCTAGGGCTGTGGGAAGGGAGCATAACTCAGGGCCGTGCCCAGCGGTGGGGCAGGATGGGCTGTGTTCTTCCCACTCTGGGAGGGGCCGGAACCTTGGGTCCTCAGCTGGGTGGGGGCAGCTCCGAAGCCAGGGCTCCCTGGAGGTGGCCGCCCTGAGACCCAGCCTCATGGCCGGCTTCCTACAGCCTCCAACTGCTATATCCAGCCCACCGTCCCCAGTTCCTGTGTATACCCGGCAGGCCCCAGGCCAGGTGAGTGGGGGGCTGGCAGAGGGGCCGTGAGGTGGCATAAAGCAGATCCTGGGAGGCGGAGGGTCTGGGGCTGGCTTTGGTGGGCCAGGGACCCTCGGGTGGTGGCCACTGCACCCTCAGGGGCCAACCTGAACTGAACCCAGGGGAACTGGGGTCCTGACCTCTCCTGCCCTCCCAGCAGCTCAGACCTGCTCCTCCCACCAAGTCCCTCCCAGGGCTGAAGGCCAAGCAGGTGAGAGGACCCCCAGGGGAGGGGCACAGGGGTGTGCGGGGCTGTGGGCTCCATCGTTGTGCTCCCTTTGGTTTGAGGCTTCAGGGGTTTGGGAAGGGTCTCTCCCAAATGTGAGTCACTGGCGCCCCAGCAAGCCCCCTGCCTTTGGGCTCGCTCGGGAGGCCCTCCCGCCTGTCCTGAGGTCTGGCCCTGGCGGGTCCCCTCCCTTGCTGGAAGCCCCGTGGGTACTGCCGAGAGTCCTGCACACCTCTGGACAGGCACACGCACCTCCTGGCAGGCGGGGAGGTCACCTGCTCTGGCAAATTGTGAGGCAGGGAGACCCAGGCTCCTCTCTCCGCCCACCAAGGAGCCTGGGGGGCCCCGCGGCAGCCTGTCCGCTGGGCGGTGTGGAGTCATCACTTGGTTGCAGTGGTGTCTGCAGGGCTCTAAATCTCAGTAGGGCCCATCTTCCCTTAGCGGTTAATGTCGTGGGGATACTTGGAGCGATGCCCGGCTGGTTACTTCCTAAACTGACCCGCCATGCCTCCGTGGGTGGATCTCACCTACCACAACCGTTACTGTGGCGTTTGCTTAACGGAGATTCTCTGTTTTTTACTTTTTATTTTGAATTAATTTTAGAGTTACAGTGAAGTTACAAAAATAGTCCGTAAAAAAGTCTTAGGAGGGGTTTTGACAGGCCAAACAGGGAAGGGGGGTGGGCAGAGAGATTGCTGGCCAAGGAAATGGTGGCAGCCAGGGAATTGTGCTGGGGGAGAAAAGTGCAGGCGACTTCTCTCCCTCTGCTCACAGGGCCCTTCTCGGTGTGCTGGGCCCACCCTGTCCCTCTGGCGCTGGAACGAGCTGCCTGGGCTGAGCAGGGCCCCTGCTGGAGGCCTTCCTTCTCCACTCTAGCCCTGGCCCCTGGAAAGCTGAGATGCAAACAAATGCAAATTCTAGTAGTGGATCCTTTGCTTTAGAGCTTCCAAAGACCCCCATTCTGGCAATTTAAGAGCTTTTCCTGGGTAATGTTGGGGGAGGGGGGAGTTGAGGGAGGAGGGCAGGGCAGTGAGATAAGCCGATGGGCCCAGGAATGGGGGCCCTGCCACATTTGGGTTTCATTCGGGGCAGTGGCAGCTGTGGGTGGGGAGGGGGTTGGGGGCACTTTTCTGTAGAGAGCGAAGAGAAACGTGCAGGCCGGTCTGGAGCAGAGCAGAACACCCAGGGAACTTTCTAGAAGGTGCTGGGAAGCTGGCGCCCTGGCCCAGCTGGCCATCAGCTGTGTCTGCCTCTTTCCAGGTCGTCAAGCCAACCTGCACTCCACCGATGCCACCCGTCAAGCCCAGGGCTGGAGGGGCCCAGCCTGGGCCCACTCAGGTGAGGCCCTCACACACAGGGCAGTGCCCACCTGGCTGGGCAGAGCGAGCTGTCTTCCCCCAGCTGGCTGCCTGGGGCTCAGCCCTGAGAGGGTATAACATCCGCCCTCTACTCTGTCAGAGGACTTTTTGGTGCTTGCCGCTTCTTCCAGCTGTTACTGTGTCTTTTTCTCCAGTAGTGTAAGTACAGAAGTCTATTCTTGATAAAGCATCAGCTGTTAATACCCGGCTGTCTCCACTCGGCTCTGAGCTCTGAGCACAGTCATATCTTTGGATGAACTGAGGATCCAAATTTTAAGAAAAGTAAAAGGAAATTAGATTCAGTTGTGCTCTTTGTAGCAGATGGTTTTTAATGTCAGTTCTTTCTTCCTTTTCCAAGGGAGTTGTTGCCCCAAAGGTTGCTCTGAAACCCCCTGTCCAGAGGAGGTGATGGGGCCCGAGCTCAAAGCACCCTGGGGGGCATCTGTGCACCTGTCTGGTGACCTCGCCACCAGCACCGACAGACCAGCTGCCTGGCCCCAGGCCCTCCGTCCCCCTCCCTGAGGGCTGGGTCCACTGTGAAAAGTCCTAGCGGAAGAGCCAACTCCTCATGGCCAAGGTCACTCTTCAGCACCCCACGGTCACAGCCCAGGCCCTCTCCACCCAGGACTCCGCGGTCAGGCCCTCGGCTGCTGTCCTGACCTCAGGAACGGGGGCCAGGCCAGTGCCTCCTCACCCACGTGTGTCTCCAGACTGCCCCTGGTGCCTTGTCTGGGTCTCTGGAAACCTCAGATGCACATTCAGTAGGGCTGAAAACTTTAATGAAGTTTTTGTATTCTACAATTAAATTATTGATCAAATTCTAAATGACGGGAGATCGGTGGAAAATGTTGCATGCCAAACAATGTGGAATTTATAAGATTTAAGGGTCCAACGCTTGTTAAAATAAAAGTCTACTGTAAATGGGTAAGGTCAAACTTTCCCCTTCTTTTCTTAGACTTTATCGTAAGCCCTCCTCTGCTTAAACTAAGCAACCCGGTCCGCCCGCGCGGAGCGGGCCGCTAGCACCCAAGGTGGCCGGCGCCCCTCCCCTTCCGACCCCGCTCCGGTCTCCCGGCAACGGCCCGACCACCCTCCCGGCCCCACGCTGGGCGCCGGCGTGCTGGGCGCCGCCAGGCCGAGCCCCCCGGCCCAGCCGCCGCTGCTGCCCGGCGCCCTCCGTGGCCTCTACGCCTGGCTGGACGCACTGTCGCTCAGCCGCCGCAAGCGCCACCTGGCCCGGGACTTCAGCGACGGCGGTGAGGGCGGGGCGGCGGCCACGACGGGGCCGGGGGCCGGGGTGACCGCCGGTTGTCCAGGCCACAGGGCCGGCGCCGGTCAGCCGGGTCCTGGCGCTCTCTGCTCAGGGGAAGAGCGCAGCGGTCATCTCTCCCGGCCAGCGGGAGCCCCGAAGGAGATGTGCCGCTAGTCGGGACGGCCAAGCAAGGGCCGCGGCCCCGGAAGGGTCCCCGCTCGCCGGACTCCCTGCAAAATGCAGACGACCCCAGAGGCAGGGCGTGAGGGGCCTCTCGAAGGAGTGGGCAGGACGTGGGAGGGGCGCTGCCTCGATGGCCCCAGAAGGAGGAGAAATGCGGCAAAGCGAGGGCCTGGTTCTGTGTTCAACCTGGCCACGGGAATTCCTCCTGCCCCCGGACCCCGCGTTCCCCGGGAAAGGATGCGGCAGACTGGGGGTCTCCTAGCAGCTCCTCTGACCCCGCGGGCTCTCACAGCCCCCTCCCCTGGGGCGCCCACACCCTGCGGGTGCTCCCCGGGACTTCTCTCCTTCCTCATCCCCCTCGGAGGCCCTGGATGACTGATGATTTAAGGAATCCAAGGGCTCTTAGCTCACCTCGTGCCCCTGCCCGCTCCGCCCCAGTGATGCTGGCTGAGATTGTGAAGCTCTTCCGCCCCCGGCTTGTGGACCTGCCCAATTACACCCCCACCTGCAACACGGACCAGAAGCTCAGCAACTGAAGCATTCTCAACAGGCAGGGCTTCGCGGCGGGCTTTCCACCCCCTGCCTTTTCTGCTGGGGCCCCACTCCTCACTCTCCAAGGCTGTCCTGGACGGGTAGCCTCCCCCAAGCCCCTCCCAGCCCCTGGGACAGCTTTTCAGGCTGTGTCCCTGCCGTGGGTCTCCCTGACACTGTCCAGTCCAACCTGGAGCTCCTGGGGGCTCCCCGCCAAGAGGACAGCAGTGGTCAGCTCGAGACCCGCTCACCGGGGCACCAGCCTTGCCCTCTGACTGCGTGTCCAGATCATGCTGACCACACCTCTCGCTCACCCGCCCACCCGCCAATGGTTCTGGGTGACAGGCTCTGCTCAGGCCCAGCAGACACAGCAGTACGTGGGCCCCTGCCTTCGCGGGGCTGTACGTCTGTGGGGAAGACATAAACGAAGAGATGGGACCAGTGTCAGCCGTGACAAGTCACATGAGGGACGAGGCAGAACCCATGAGGCAGTGACAGTGAACAGAGTGGGGCTGCAGTGGGGAGGGGATGTCACCAAGGGTCCTCGGAGCACACTGCCTGGGAGGGGTCACTGCCGTGGCAGGGTTGAGGACTTATTCTGAGGAGAGAGGGGACTTTGGGGGAGGTGGAGGAGGGGTGGGCTGCCCCCGCCCCCAGAGGTGAGAGGATGGCAGCTGCGGGCAGACGTGGGGAGAGGTCAGGCTCTGAGCACTTCGGAGGTGAGCTAGGAGGACTTCACCCAGAACAGGGGAGACTCAGGCAAGAGGATGCGTCCTCCACAGAGTCCCCGGGACACTTATCGGGGAAGCGGTGGCCCAGGCTGGGACTCACCTGGCCTGAAGGCACAGGGCACCATGTGTCCTGTGACCCCTGATGGGGTGGCCGGGAACAAGATGGCCACGGGTCTCTGTGGGTCCCGGGGCAAGCGGGTGCCCCTGTCCCGGCCCCTCTGCACGGAGGCGAGCCAGCCCTGCCGCCCGGCTCTGCAGGGCGCTCTGCTCTGAGGGCTGCACCCTGCTTCCTCTGCAGAAAAGTCCTCCACAAGCTGGGTTTCTGTGTCTCGGAGGAGATCCGCAAGGTGGCGGCCACCAGGCCTGGGGCCATCGAGCCGGTCCTGTGTGCAGTGAGTGAGGGATAAGGTGGAGGCCGGTGAGGACCCGCCCCGCAGGGCTGGACGTGTGGGTACCGTCGTACCGCCTTGGAACGTGCTGAGAGTAAAACCAGGAAATAAGTGGGGATGAAGCCCCGGGTCCTCACGGTCCCGGGGCCCAGACTGCAGTGAAGTCATGGCTGCGCTGCTGGTGCGGCCCCAGGCCAGGGCCCCTGCCAGCCTGACCCATCTGCTTCCCTTTTCAGAAGCGCTCAGACCCAGCCCCCGCCCCCCCAGTTAGCCCCTCCCTGCTCCCTGTCTGTGACTGGGAGACCCAGGTCCGCAACAGGAGCAGAGTCAGCCCCTCCCGCCGGTCTCCCTGCACAACGTCTGAACCCTCTGCAGTACCCAGGAGCCTCCAGTGGCGACACTGACAGACCATGGGTGGGGCTCACTGCCTCTGCACACGCTGGTAATGGCCAACCGCCCCCCCCCCGACAAGTGGGCACCCCCGGACCCTGTCCACAGGCCGTGCGGGGTGGCCGTCGTTCAATGGTCACCTCTCCAAACGGGGAAGCCATTCAGAGGCACCGAGGGCTGCGCCTGGGCACCACATTAGGCCCGACTGTGCCCCCGTGGCACTTTGTGGGCTCAGCCCCCCACCCCACCGCTCCCCTGTGTGCCCCTCTCCCAGCTGGAGGCCCTGAGCTGGCGGTTGGCTTATCTCACAGGCCTGGCAAGCCCCTCAGCGCCCTCTGGGGCAGAGACCCTTGGGAGTCAGAGGGCTCCAGAGGAGACGGGCTGCTGGGCACACAGAGGGTGGGCCCCATCTTGAGCCCTCTGCCCCCCGAGCCCCACCTCCGGTGGCCCACGGGCTGAAGGCCCCAGGTTTGCCTTTCAGTCGGGGCCCGGCTGGCGAGCCCTGGCAGCACCTGGACCCTGGGCTGAAGCAGCTGCCGGAGGAGCAGCAGCAGGCGCTGGGCATGCTGCAGGAGGCAGTCAAGGTGCCGGCCTGGGCGCCCCTCCAAGCAGCTCAGACTGGTGTGCGGTGAGGCGGTGGAGGGCAGGAGGGGGCCCTGACCGGGGACCCACGTTTAGTTTGATTATTTAAATACAGGGCGTTCCGAAGATACCTAGAAGCCCCCATCCCCACAGACTGACCACCCAGCTTCACCAGCTATCAAACCCTGGGGCCCACGAGCCAGGGGCTGCAGACTCACAGGCGATGCCACCGAATGTGCTGGACAGCAGCCCAGGGGCCATGGGGCCGGGTCAGGGAGCAGAGGCACATCCCTAAGGTGCACACCTGGTTCTGGGGGCACAGCCTCTTCCCCTCTCTCTCACCAAGGGTCTCCAGCATTCCTGGGTTCAGGAGGTGCTCAGGTCCCTTCACTGCCGCACAGCGACCACTGCGTGCTCCCCCGGCCCCCTGGGAGCACAGGCTGCATCTTTGGGCTCAAGACAGTGGGGGGTGGGGTGGGTGTGCAGGCCGAACATGTCGGGCCTCAGGGTCCGAGGGGTTGTCAGGAATTGTGATGACAGCACGGTTCCCGAGGGCTGAGCGGATCTCGACTCAGTTTTCTTGAGGAAGCAGGAAAGTGGCGTCATCGTGTGGTTTGCGTGTGTGGACAGCAGAGAGGAAGCCGTGGTAGGAACGAAGCTGCTGTCTCACGCCCATGGCCGTGGCTCTGGCCCCTGGGCTAACGCAGGGGGCCCTGGCCTCCGTGGACCCTTGAATAACATGGGTTTGAATGGCGTGTATGTTTTTCAGTAGATACGCACCACAGCGCTGCGCTGTGTGTGCTGCAGACCCAGGGTGCGGGACTGAATGTAAAGCTGTAGGCGGGTTATTGGCTGGGGGGGGGGGGGGGGGGGGGTCTAATCCAATTTGACCCGTATCCTTATAAGAAGAAGAGATTAGGGCACAGAGACACCCGGGATGGA